GCGGGGGCGGGGACGACTTTGCATCTAGCTCAGGCAGATAAGACTGCAACAGGCCATGGGATACAGAAGGGAGAAGGGCCGGGGATTTAGCTCAGTGGTTCCGCTGCCTGCCTTGCAAGCACAAGGTCGAGAGTTCAATCCCCGGTACCAAAAAAAAAAAAAACCAAGGAAGGGAGAAGAGTTCCCTCTATTACACACTCTACACCCCTTCACTCCCAACGGGACATTGACACCATCCAAAGATGCAGGATTACAGGGCTTTGGCTTCATTTATTAGCCTAAAAAAGGTTTTTTTCATTTGTTTTTTTTGAGGAAAGGTCTCACTTTTTGTAGTGCAGGCTGGCCTCGAGCTAGCTCACTGTGTAGCTCAGGCTGGCCTCAGCCTCCCAAGTGCTGTGATTATGGGTGTGTGCCACCACGCCCAGCTTTTTCTTTACTTTTCTGAGGGGCGGACAGTACTAGGGATGGAACGCAGGACCTTGGGCTTGTGAGACCCGGACATCCCACTGAGCTAAATCCCCGCGTTTTTTTTTTTTTTTTTGAGACCTCCCTAGGCAGTTCAAACTGCCCTTGAACTCGCTATGTAACCGGCTGATCCTCCTGCCGCAGCCGCCTAAGTGCTGGGATTCCAGGAATGTGCCACCACACCTGGCATACTTAAACCAATTTTTATTGAGCAAAGTTTTAAAAAGTGTTTCTCTAAGTCTAGGAAAACGAGATCAAAACGCCTGTCGAACAGAATAAATTAAGCCTTTCCTGTAGGCGGTAAGACTAGTCTAGCAAGGTTTACCTTAACACGTCCTTGTTTTCTCAACTATGATTCCCACTCACCCACCCGGGCTCCCATTTAACTGAATAACTCACTCAGTAAGCCCCATTTGTAAACCAAAGAACTGAACAGCTGGGGGAAAGGGGGTAGTTAGACAAGACAGGGCGGGGCCGAGCCAATTCCGGGGACCCCGGCTCCCGACGGCGGCACTCACCATGGCGACCACGGGCCCCGAGTGCATGTACTGCACCAGGCCGGGGAAGAAGGGACGCTCCTTCAGGTCGGCGTAGTGCTGTTTTAGGTGCTCCTCGGAGGCCTGCGGGAGGATGCGTCAGGGCACCGCCGCGGGGAAGGTTCTCCGGAGACCAGGGTCCGTATTCTCGACCCACCTCCCCGAGGTGTGCCTCTAACCCTCCCATCCGAACCCTCAAAGTGTCGCCCTTGTGATGTCCCTGACGTTGGGCTCGTGAGCTACCAGGTGGCCTGAGGACGCGGGCCCGGGGAGCCGCATGGAACTAGGTGCGACTGGACAGGCAGCGCGATCGCAGCACCCTGCGGCCGCTCTTACTCCACGGAGAGCCTCGGATAATCCCGCGCGAACAATCCCGCCGCGAACGAGCCGGTTAAAGCTGCAGCACTTACTTATCCCTTAAGTGTCGGGATTCAGATCGGGGCCTCAAATTACAAGTGGGAGATACAGCTACTACCCTATGCCAGAGGAGGGACACGCTGCTAAACTTCGGGCACCCGGAAGTCCGGCTCCACGCCGCGGGTGCTGCACCCCGGCTCGGTCCCCGGGGGCCCGACCTCCCGGCCTCGGGGTCGCGCCCGCGCCCACGGGGACGACGACTCCTGAAGGAGACGCAGGGCGCGCGCCGTGTTACCCGCATGAACTTCATGGCCACCAGGCGGAAGCCCTTCTGCTCGAACCGCTTGATGATGTCGCCCACCAGGCCGCGCTGCACGCCGTCGGGCTTGATGGCGATGAAGGTGCGCTCGAGGTTGGCCATGGTCCTGCAGAGAGCCGCGGTCAGAGCGCGCGGCCGCCGGGACACAGACCCGCCGGGGTGGCCGGGCCTGGGGAGGCCACGTGGACCCCCGCCGCCGCCCTGCTGAGTCCCCCGGCCCGGAGGGGGCGCTGCAGGGGCCCAGTGATCGGGGACCGGGGAGTCGGTGACCCGAGGACCCCGGGTTCGAGGAGGGCACCCCGAGCCTTACCAGGAGGTGATGGCTGCTGAACAGAGCTACGCGGCGGAGACGACACAGAGCGACCACAGCACCCGGGCACCAGCGGAGGAGGAGGGGCGCGGGACGGCCACACCCCGGGGAGGGGACCCGCCTCCCAACCCAGGGCGACCAGCCCCGTCCCCGCCCAGCGGCCTGCGGCGCGCGCCTCGCGAATCTCAGGAAGTTGTCTGTGTCCCCACCCAGGCGTCCCTGCTCCGCCTGTGCCTCTCCCAACCTCCTGCGACCCCCCACGCCAGATCTTGCTGCGGTGCTTGAGGTCTTTGCCCCGGGTCGGCGCCCTGTGGCTTCCCCTCCGGCCCAGCACCTCTAGTCCTTGTCCCCACCCCTGGGACTCGGCCCCCACCTCCGCCGCTTGAGCGCCGGGCAAGTCCCAAACCGTCCCCGTCCACACTGGCGGCCTCGATCTCGTCCCCACTCCAGCACGTCTTCCGCCTGCCCCCTGTCCGTCCTCGGTCTCAGGATGGCCTGAAACTCCTTAGCGAGGCAAGCTGCTGGCTCCCGCCTGACCCCACCCAGGGACAGGGATCCCTACTGCCACCAGTTCCAGAGACACCCCAGGCAAGACCAGGCTCTCTGAGGTCGGGCCCGGCCGCTGGCAGGCTGTCCCTACCTCCTGTCAGCCTGGCTCCCCCTGCTTGTGTCCCTGTGTCCCGGGTGACCTGCCCGCTCTGTAACCCAGCCAGCGGCAGGCTCCAGCGCCGGCTGACCGTGAACGTCTCCGGCTTGGGTACTGCTGTAGAGGTTGCTGCCTGAACACTGGAAGAATCAGGCCGAGGCCAGCGTGGGGGGAGTCCTGGCATCCCAGCAATCTAGGAGGAACCCAGCCTGAGGTACTTAGCAACTTAGCAGACCTTGTCTCTAAATAAAAAGAGCTCAGGGCCCAGGGATTTAGTTCAGTGGTTCCAGCGCCTGCCTGGAAAGGGCAAGGTCCCAAGTTCAAGCCCCATTACCAAAAAATAATAATAATAATAAAAGCTCAGTATGAAGGCCCTACTACTTCACTTGAGCCAAAATTAAACCTTCCTGTAACCCAGGCCAGACCTGGGCGGGCCCTCTTTTCTCTTCTCTCCCTGCTCCTGTCTCCTTTCTAGGAGCTGCAACGCCCAGTAGCTCTCCAGGACAGCTCTCCAGGACCCCGGCAGGTCCTGCCTCCAGCAATGTGGTGCTGTGGTGGGAACCTCAGCCACCTCTCACCTAGGACAGTGCAGTGCCCCGCCTCTGTTCCCAGGACTCAGACATCCGGAATAGGTGGGACCACCAAGCAGACAGCACAGGCTCTGCAGCACCTGCTACATTCCAGAACCTCTAGTCCAGAGCATTGACCCAGGACACACTGCCAACGTCACCTGCCCCATCTGGGGACTGCAGCCTCTGACCTCACTCAGTCTGAAGCACGTGGGATTTGGTTTTTTTCTTTCAATACCAGGGATCGAACCCAGGGCCTTTGCACTGAGATACATCCTCAGCCATTTAAGACAGGGTCTTGTTAAGTGGCTAAATTAACCAGACTGGGCTGGAACCTCAATTCTGGGAGTTCAGGTGTGTGCCAGCATACGTAGCACACTTTTTCTTACTTTTTTTGCAGGGGAAGGGGTTGAGACACTCTCACTCTGCAGGTCAGACTGACCCTGAACTCACTATGTAGCCCAAGTTGGCCTCAAACTAGCAGCAATCCTCCTGCCTCAGCCTCCTGAGTGCTAGGATTACAGGCGTGCACCACCACACTGGGCCTCCCTCACTTTTTCTCCATGTACAACTCCTGGGCACAAGGTTTTCCCCAGGCCCAAGGTCTCCTAGATAGCATCGCCTTTTCCTGCTTCCCATTAGCTCAGTGCAGCCATGTGACTCCATCCTGGTTGGCGGGATGTGAGAGGAAGTGAAGGATGTCAATTCAGAGCTTTTGTGTTTGGTTTGGTTTTCTGAGTCAGGGTCTTGCTACGTGGACCAGGCTGGCCTTGAACCCACCCACCATGCCTGGCACCTACTGACCAGCTTGGGTTTTAAACAAAGAAGTAAACCTCTATCATGTCTCTCTTAAAGCAACTAAATCAAATCAATGTCCTAACAAATCAAAGCTAATGAGGGTTTCTCCCACTTCATTTGAGGCCATCAGAAGGGGCCAAGCCTACGGTCCACACGGCTTTTCTGATTTTTGGAGTAGTTCTTCTTTTTTTTGGTACCGGGGATCAAACTCGGGTCCTTGAGGTTGTGCAGCAGGCAGCGAAACCACTGAGCTAAATCCCTAGCCCTGGAGTAGTTACTTCTTATGCTCTCCCATCTCTTCCCAAGACCTTCTCAGGAAAAGGATGGAAGCTGCACAATGGAGCACACCTGTAATCCCAGCACTCAGGAGGCTGAGGCAGGAGGACTGCTGTGAGTTCCAGGCCAGCCTGGACTCCAAAATGAGTTCAAAGACAGCTTGAGCTGCATACCAAAACCCTGCATCAAAAAACAGAAAGAAAGAAAAAGAAAAGGATGAGTATCTTTCATTTCTGAGGAACCCTCTACACTGTGTAGAGTCCTGACAACCTAGCAGAGCCGCCATAGATGTTTGTCCCGGGCTCCGTGGCAGGAGGGTAAAATGCAGGGGTGGGGAGAGGGGCTGCGTGCCAGACTCGGCTGATCCTCGTGGAGATGACAGCTTGCCCTTCACTCCACTGGGGGACGTGACACTGGGGCAGGAGTGGCGCACACACAGCTCAGGCTGCCCTCTGGGTGGCAGGGACGCGCTGAGGCGGCTGGGTCTGCTGGTCTGGTCTTTGCCCGGCCCTCGGTCACTCGTAGATCCAGTCCTGGGCGCAGCTCCTGTAGTCCACCAGCTCCTCTGGCTGGAACCACAGGCCGATCTCCTTCTGTGCGCTCTCCACCGAGTCACTGCCGTGGATGATGTTCCTAGGTGGGGACAGAGAGAGGAGGCGTGTGGGGAGCTGCGTACCCAGGCGGGAAGAAAGACCAGCCCTCCGGCTACACTCGCACAGGGGCAGCCTCAGGGAAGACCCTGCCCGGGGCCTGTGCTCTCAAAAGCAGCACAGGACAGGGACGGTGGCCCCGCAGACACCGCCAGCCACAGAAGGAGGAAGATGGGAGCTCGGATCTCACACATCTGCACTTGCTGTCGGGTTCTCCAGCCCCGCACAAACCCAGATTCTGCAGCAGTGAATGGGCCTTGGGAAAGGGCAGCAGCACCCATGCCCACCTGCCGACTTGGATGCAGAAGTCCCCGCGGATGGTGCCCGGCTTGGAGTCGGCAGGGTTGGTCTCGCCCAGCATCACGCGGCCCGTCTTCACCACGTTCAGCCCCTCCCAGACCTCAGGGACAAGAGACATGTCAAGGGGAGAACCCCGGCGGACACCCAACCACTGTGCACTTAAGGACAGGAAGACAAAGAAGCGCCACGAGTCACACCCACGGAACCAATGCTCATGAGCATCCCTGTCCAGCCCAGGGTCTTGGGGCTCCAGGCTCAACCTGAGCCCTGACATCTTTCCCACCCCGAGCTTCGGCCACCTCCCCCTTCCTACACTTCACAAACCAAGCGCCTCCTGCCCCAGGTCTTTTGCACAGGCCGCTTTCTTGCTCAGGACTGCTCCTCGCTGTGATTTTTATACACGGCCGGCTTCCTGACATTCAGATCTAACCCGGAGAGTCACACCCGTGACCCTTGATCTAATGTGGCCCCCACACCACACTGGGTCACTAACCCTCAGCTGACAGATATAGCAGTTCTTCCACTGTCTGCCTGGCCTTGCCCTCTTCCAAGTGGTACGGGCAAGATCTGGGGCTGTAGCTCCGTGGGATAGATCTTGCCTAGCACATATAAAGCCCTGGGTTCAATCCCCAGGACTAAGAAAGAATTTTGGGCTGGGGATGCAGCTCAGTGTTGAAGCACTTGCCTAGCACCTGGGGTCCTGGGTTCCATCCCAGCATCAGAAAAATAAATTATTTTTCTGAGACATGACCTCGCTATGTAACCCAGGCTGGCCTCGAACCTGTGATTCTCCTGCCTCAGCATCCCTCAGAACAGCCATGACAGGCTCAAATGTACCCTTCCTTCGGAGGGTCAGAGAGCTGCCTCACCCTCCGACAGTCCAACCTGCCAACTTCTCTCCTCTGCTGAAATCAGCACCGGGCATGCGATGCAGGACCCCAGCCCTCTCTTCCCTGTTCCCGACGGCGGCACTCACCATGGCAACCATGGGCCCCGAGTGCATGTACTGCACCAGGCCGGGGAAGAAGGGACGCTCCTTCAGGTCGACGTAGTGCTCCTTGAGCAGGTCCTCTGAGGCCTGTCCACAGAATGAGAATGAAAACCAGCCAGCCATTTTTCCAGCCCATCCGGCCACTGATGTCTCTTCCGGTTCTGAGAGACAGGGTCTTGCTATGTAGCCCAGGCTGGCCTCAAACTCACACCGATCCTCCTGCCTCAGCCTCCTGAGTGCTGCGATCACAGGCGTGTGCCACCATGCCCAGCACACCCTGCTACTTCAGTGGTGAGCCCCCAGCTCCCTGGTGTGCTCTAACCAGCAGATCCCTGCCCCACACGGAGCGGGCAGGGAGAGGCACTCAAGTGCTTTTGCAGTTTTGAGCTAATTTCCTCCTCTTGGCCTTGAATGAGCAGAAAAACTCAACTACCTCTCTCATCTGGTAAGGATACTTCTGAGACTACTTCCACAAGTTTTCCATTTGATTTATTTTTGGAGGGTTTGGGGTTTTTTTTTGAGATAGGGTCCCAGTATGTAGCCCAGGATGGCTTGGAAATTGTGGCAATCCTCCTGCCTCAGCCTCCTCTGGAGGGCTGGGATCACAGGTTATCAGTTGGCAACAGTCTTCCCTTGTGAGTAGGAAGGGCCAGAGGGAGCTGTGCAATTTTACTCTGGCAAATGGTGCCCAACCAATGCAGCATTCAGTAGCAAAGTGCCCAGGGCCCTCACCCAGAGTTCTTCACATGAAGCCGTCAATCATGTGCTGAAGAATCGGTCGCACTGCAGGGCTGCTGCACACATGGAAGTTAGGCAGAGAGCACAGAATCTGCTTAGTCTTGGCTCCACCTGGCTCTCTTCTCTTTGCAGAGACAGCCACGGTTCCTGGGGTCTGGCAGGGCCCCGGAGTCCCCAGTCATCATGGCGACGATGCACCATGGAGCCGATCCATCCTCCGGGGACACAGGGACACAGGGACACGGAGATCAGCCGCCTCCAGCACAGCCAGGCGTTCTACCGTTCAGCTGCTGTTGGTCACCACTCGCCAAAGTGTCATCGCTCTGTGCTGGGAACCCAACCTCGCCCTGTCCCTGTCTACTACATGGAGGACTTGCTCAGTGAATCTCAGAACAACTTCAACTGGCCTTCCCTTTTTTTAGTTTTAATTTTTTATGAGTATATGATCGCCATACATAATATTACATTCATCTTAGGGAACTGGCACAAATGCATCACGTCTTTATCATTTTTTACTTCCCATCTCCATGAGGTCTACCTCCCAGTTTCCTATCATCTTTATTTTGCACTTTTTTTGAGGGGAGGGGTGGTTTTAAGACATTCTTTTCTGTGTAGTCCAGGCTGCCCTTGAATTCACTATGTAGCCCAGGCTGGCCTTGAACTCATGGCCGCCATCCTACCTCAGCCTCCCCAGGGCTGGGATCACAGCCATGTGCCATCACACCCAGCTTTTTCGCTCTTTAAGTTACTTATACGTTGATTTTCTTGTATAAAAGAAACCATTCTATATCTACCCTTCTGTGTCTGATTTATCTGGCTCACCATCACTGTCTCAAGATGCACCCTGACCTTCCCTACAAGAGGATTCTTTCAATTCTGTTAATCGCTTCCATTATCTTCACAGTCTACAAAACAGACCGTGGAGGGTGCGGGCCTCACAATTTCCCTCGCTTGCCACCCCGCCGGCAACCTTTAGAGTCATGGCTGCCTCCCCACGGTCCGTTCTTGACCAAACCCACTTCCCTGACAGGAAAGTCAGTGTAAAGCAAAGGGATGCCTGCACTTTGGGGTCCAAGAGGCCAAAATCCCATGTGCCTTTCAGCCTGTGTGTGCTTTACTTCACCCCTCCAAGCCTCAGTTTCCCCACACTAACAAAGAACAGGAATGAGCTCCTCTCAGGGTTTCCGTGAGGGGTGGAGGAGAAAACGTGTGCCCAGCTTGCGGGAAATGCCTAAGCAACACCTGTTCCTCTCATTGCACCTCCAAAATCCAAGGAATATGTAAACCCACTGTTCGTCCAGCACCTGCCTGGCTTGTCGTTCCGCCAACTCTGCTCTCAGCATTAACCACTCTTTTTTTCTTCTGTTTTTTTGAGACAAGGGTCTTTTTTATGTACTGCAAACATGTAGTAGTAGAAATAAAAATGAAATCCCCAGTACCAAAAAAAAAAAAAAGAAATAAAAATGACAAAACAAAACAAAAAAAAAAAACACAAAGACAAAGGTTAACAAAAATTCAACTCCTTTAACATCACAGGAAATAAGTTGCAAATTAAACTAAATTGAAAGTGCAGTCCAGTGAATGTAATCATGATGTACTCCAAATATGTACTAATAAAAGTAAAAAAATGGAGCTGGAGGGCCAGGGATTTAGCTCAGTGGTTCCGCTGCCTGCCTCACAAGCCCAAGGTCGAGTTTGATCACCAGTACCAAAAAAAAAATTGTTTTTTAATAAATAAAGTGCAGTATAAGGGGCCAAAGTTGATCTCTTTAATGGGAAAAAAATATCACTCCCTCCCCAAGTTATCTGACTTGGAAATGTGAATAATCATCTCCTGGTTGTTGTTTTTTTTTTTTAGGGTTTTTTTTTTTTTGGTACCAGGGATCGAACTCAGGTCATTGCGCTTGCGCAGCAGGCAGTGAAACCACTGAGCTAAATCCCCGGCCCCATCTCCTGGTTTTTTGCTGGGTTTTTTTTTCTTTCTTGGATTTGTCTGAAGAAGGCTCCTGGCCAATTCATCCTTTGCATTTATTGAAATGCTGCTGTGCAGGTGTCTTGCAGATTTGCCCAGAGAGCTGTCCCAAAAGCAAAACCAGTTTCCCCCACCAAAGTCCCAAGGAGGCCTGATCTATCCTGGACACTAAGCAGCAGTAACTGATAATGCAGATTTTCTTTCTGGAAAAAAAACCTCCCTCAAGGGAAGGCCAGGGTTCTAAAATGATCTGCTCTGGAAGCTAAAGATCAGGATCTCTAATGCTTTCAGAGCTGAGTCGGAAACTGCAGTTGGAGTTCTACACTGCGGAGAGAAAAGACCATTTTCAAAGCCCCAAATAACTTGTTTGTTCCAGAATTAAGCTAAGACACTAGGCCACTGGGGGTCCAGGTTTCAAGACATTTGCCCTACTGTGGAAGAGTCTAAAAAGGGAAGAGAGGGGGCAAAAACAGAAATTAATCTACAGTGATCCCCTATACCATGAAGGAATCACAATGGTAAGAGTCACTTACCTGCATAAGTTTCAAAGCAACAAGGCGGAATCCCTTCTGCTCAAAGCGCTTGATGATGTCTCCTACAAGTCCCCGCTGGACGCCATCAGGCTTGATGGCGATGAAGGTCCGCTCACTGTTGGCCATGGTCCTGGGGACAGGAAGGCAAGGGATGAAATAGCACTGGATTCCTGCCTACACCATTATCCTTCCCAAGCGGATTACTCCATAAAGCTGGTTTCAAGCTATCACACCTAACCCAAGTCTCTTTCATAATACACAGTTCCTTCCAGTCATCTCATATGGCAACTAATACCCCAGGTGAGGAAGGATCCAAAAGCAGAGACTATTCCTATCCCAATTGATGTAATGAGCTTCTATTAAGCACCCACTGTATACCCTATACTGTCACAAAAGGAAGTTTAGAATAAGGAACCATCTCTGGGGGCTGGGGATTTAGCTCAGTGGTTCTGGCGCCTGCCTCGCAAGCGTAAGGTCCCAAGTTCGATCCCCAGTACCAAAAAAAGAAAAAGAAAAAAAAAAAATAGGAACCATCTTTCTCAGTAATAACTCAGGCTGGTGAATACTGCACCGATGTGCTTTTAGTAACATGGAAGTGACATCTGGCACAAGATGGCATGAAACACAGCTTGCCCTACTGTCACAGCCATGACAGCAGAACAGGAAGGGGTTTTAGAGACTGTGTCACCATAACCTCTTTCATTCTGCAAAGGACCCAGGACCAGAGCACCAGAACGGAAGCCAAAATCCAGATTTCCAAACCATATGCTATTCAGGCTACACCTTAAGATGTACATAGGGCCGGGGATTTAGCACAGTGGTTCCACCGCCTGCCTTGCAAGCAGAAGGACCCAAGTTCAATCCCGGTACCCAAAAAAAAAAAAAAAAAAAAGATGTACTGAATATCGTGAAAAGCCTATTAACAGTGGGCCGTGACAGCTGCAGCCTCTATCAGTAAGGGCGGATCTCACTGGGTAAAAGCACCCCGGGAAGCCCCCACTGGGCATTCCTTTCACTAAGAGAACTTGCCCACCACAGTCTCAACTGAGAAGAGGCCGCCTCACCTTGAAAGATAATCCCTAAAGAGATAGCAGCAGCACCTCCGGGCTCTTCCTTCCTGACCTCTTAAAACAGCACCTGAGTTAACACCGCAGTGCAATTTTCTGTCCGTGCAGGGTCCATGACCCCTGTACCTGTCGCGGGCACCGGGCCACAGGGCCTGGCCTCCAACCAGAGAAAAAGGCTACGTGATCGTTACTCCACTCTTGCAAGAAAAAGAGACAAAGCCCAAGACAACCTGAGAGAACTTCAGAAGGAGCTGGGGCCAAGCATGGATTCCCCAGAATCAAATGGGGCTGAAGTGACAGACATTGTCCCTATAAATGCCCTCCACCCAGACCCCTGCCACCTGCACCCATCATTCATTCACCGAACACCCCCGGAGCATCAGCGCTCGGCCCAGCGGCGCCCTGGAAGGAGAAGCAGGCGCAGCCCCCGCCGATGGGGAACCGCGGCCGGAACAAAGGCGAGCACGCGGCGCGCGTGACAGGTCGGGGTCCACAGACGGCCCCCGGCCACCTCTCAGAGCGGAACGCACCTCCTCACCTTCCCTCTCCCACTTCCCGAACCCCTCTCTTTTTCTTTTCTTCTCAGGACCCCGAAGCCTTCTGACCCCTCCAGCTGCTTGGGCTTTAAACTCCAGCTGCACCGGAAACGCGATGCACCCCACGTGGTTTCCAGCGTCTGCACACTCGGAACGCTTCTGCACAGCTCCGCTGTAGGAGAGCCCTTTTTACAGAACACCGCTCGGCCAAGCGTCCTCCTGTGAGTGGGACCCCATTCTGGAAAGCAACTTCCGGTGTTTAACTTCCGGGAGCTAGTTTTTACCTGCTCGCGTCTGGCAGCCATCTCTTCTTTTTCCCCTGTCCTTAAGGGCTCTGACTCATTTCCGGAACTGGCTTCCCAAGAGATGGCGCTCACACTTTGCATAAACTTGAAACAAGCGCCTGACCTAGAAATAAAACTGGCTCTGGGTTCACGTTTATTCATTCTATTCTGCCAATCAAGCAATAAATAATTTACTGGGGACCTCTTATGTATGTGCCAGGCGCTACTGCAGGCCCTGGGGACGAGGCAGCATGCTCGCTAGGAGCTGCTGGCTGGGTAGAGGGTGAGGACGAGCAGGAGGCGAGGATGCAAATTAACACGGAATTGGCGCTGTTATGTCAGCGCTAGGAGAGGAGATGTGGGGAATGAGGTGGGTATGGGACTCTCAGAGGATTTGATAGTGGAATAGACCTGCAGGAAGTGAGGGGAAAACGTGGTGATTATCTGAAAGCCGAGAATACACTGCGGGAGGAAACACGTTTGGAGCCAGGCATGGTTGTGCCCACCTGTAATCCCAGTTTGGGAGGCTGAGGCAGGAGGATCTCAAATTTCAGTACATGGCCAGCCTGGGCTAAGTAGGGAGACATTGTCCTTCCTAAAAAAGAGACAGAGAAGGGCTGGGGATTTAGCTCAGTGGCGATGTGCCTGCCTCACAAACACAAGGTCCTGAGTTCGATCCTCGGTACAAAAACAGAGACAGAGAACATACAGATGACAAACACATGTAGATGTGCTCAACATCATTAACTGTTAGGGAAATGCAAATTGAAATCACAATAACATAGCACTACATACCTATCAGAATGCTAAATTAAAGCATGCCTGTAGTCCCAGCATTCAGGAGGCTGAGGCAGGAGAATCACCTAGTTTGAGGCCAGCTTGGACTACATAGCGAGACCCTGTCTCAAAAAAGAAACAGAAGGGAGGACCGGGCATTTAGCTCAGTGGCACCGTGCCTGCCTGGCAAGCACAAGGTCCTGAGTTCAATCCCCGGTACCAAAAAAAACAAAACCAGAAAATAGTAATAATACCAAATGCTGTCATAAGATAAACTGGATCCACATTACTGTGGGAATGTAAAATTATACACCCATTCTGAAAAAGTTTGACAATTTCTTACAGAACAAAACATGTGCTTACCATATGACCCAGCAGTAGTACTCTTGGACATTTATTCCAAAGCAATAAGAACTTCTGTTCACACACACAAAAAAACCTCTGCATAAACGTTCATGGCACCTTTATGTGCAATAGCCAAAGCCTAGGGACAACACAAATGCCTCAGCATGGAACACTCTGCCGTAGAACATTACTCAACAAGAAAAGAACAACCGACCAACCGACACATGCAACGCCTTGGATAGATTTCAAAGGAATTATACTGATTGAAAAAAAGCTACGACTTGTCCCTGTGGTCCCAGCTACTCAGGAGGCTGAGGCAGGAGGACCGCCTGAGAAAGGAGTTCAAGGCCAACTTGAGCCACATAGGGAGACCCTGTCCTAAAAAACTTGCAAAACACTTAATATTATTTCACTTATATAACATGTGTGTTGCTAGGGATCAATCCCAGGGCTTCACCCATGCTAAGTGTGTACTCCACCCCTGAGCTACACCTCCTAGATAACATTCTTTTTTTTTTTTTTTTGAATAGGGTCTCACCTTATAGCCCATGTGGCCTTGAACTCACAGGGATCCTCCTGCCTCAGCCTCCTCAGGGCTGGGATCACCGGCATGCACCACCATGCCTGGCTAGATAACATTCCTGAAATAACAAAATGGTTTGTTTGGGTTTTTTTTGTTACCAGGCATAAAACTCGGGTCCTTGCGCTTGCGCAGCAGGTGGCGAAACCATTGAGCTAAATCCCCGGCCCTGAAATAACAAAATCTTATAGCTAGAGAATAGATTAATCCTTTCCAGGAGTTATAGGCAGGGGAGGGGACCTATATGCACCCACAGAGGGGTGTCACAAGGAAGTCTCATGGTGATGGTTCTATATCTTGATTGAAGTAGCAATTACATGAAGGTACATATAGATAAATTTGTAGTGGCACACCCCTGTATCCCAGCTACTCAGGAGGCTGAGGCAGGAGGATCTAAAGTTCCAAACCATCCAGGTGTGGTAGCTCAAACCTGTAATTCCAGTATAGTATGACAGAGTTATTTACTTGGGAAGCTGAGGCAGGAGGATCACTATAAATTCAAGGCCAACCTGGTCTACACAGTGAATTCAAGACCAGCCTCAACTACATAGTGAGATCCTGTCTCAAAAAACAAAAAGAAAAGAAAAAGAAAATTCAAAGCTAGGCAATTTAGTGAAATCTTGTCTCAAAATACATTTTTTTGGGCCAGGGATTTAGCTCAGTGGTTCTGCTGCCTGCCTCACAAGCAAAAGGTCCCAAGTTTGATCCCTGGTACCAAAAAAAAAAGGGGGGAGCTGGGGGCATAATGGTATAGTGCTTGCCTAGCATAAGCCATGGGTTCAACCCCCAGCAACTCCCCAAAACTGCATGAAACTATAAATACACAATACGAGTCAGAGAATGTAAGACTGTGACGTCGGACCACCACGCCTGGCCAGCAGAGGTGTCTTCAGAGCTTGTTTAGTGGTTCCAGTCCTCTGTACCAGTGCTTCTCACACCACCACGAAAACTAGCTGGAGATCTGTTAGAGGCAGGTTTTCTTTCGCTGGCCACCAGGAAACAGGAAGGCCCCTCTCTTCCTAGAAGCCGTCCTGATTATAGGGTCCCAGCCTCACCTTGCTTTCCCATCCCTACACTCCAGTCCAGGCTTCCACGGGCAAGTGTTTCTCCAATGCAAATCAGAACGCTGTAAGAGCCAGCCGTGGTGGCCCATGCCTGCTGTCCTAGCACTTAGGAGGCTGAGACAGGAGGATTGCTGTGAGTTCAAGGCCACCCTCAACCACAAAGCAAGACCCTGTCTCAGAAGAAAAAAAGAAAGGGGGCCAGGGATTTAGCTCAGTGGTTTTGCCTCCTGCTGCACAAGTGCAAGGACCCAAGTTCAATCCCCTGTACCAAAAAAAGAAAAAGAAAAAAGAAAAATAACTCCAGCCTGCTGGGTGTCAGATGCCCCGAGTTCCTGTCCCCCAATATCAAAGAATGAATTCCAAGGGACAAAGAAGGTCAAGAGGAGGAAAGCTCCGGAGAGACTGGTGGGGTCTGGAGTGAGTGGCCGGGAGGTTTCCACTATATCCCTAGAACTTTTATTTTTTTATTTTTTTATT